AACAATATACAAGGGTTCTAGTTTCCCCATGTTCTTACCAACATTCATTTGCTCGTGTTTTTTTGAGACAGAGTCTTGCTCTGTCACCCAAGCTAGAGTGCAGTGGCATGATCTTGGCTGACTGTAATCTCTGCCTCCCAGAGACCTGCCAGGCTGGTCTCAAACTCCTGACCTCAGGTGATCTGCTCACCTTGGCCTCCCAAAGTGCTGGGATTACAGGTGTGAGCTGCTGCACCTGGCCTATTTTCTGTTTTGTTTTTTTTTTTTTTTGATAGTAGCCATCCTGATGAGTGTGAGATGCTATCTCATTGTGGCTTTGATTAGCATTTCACTAGTGATTATGATGTTGAGCATCTTTTCATGTCCTTCTTGACTGTTTATCTTCTTTATTTTTATTTTTTTTGAGATAGAGTCTCGCTCTGTCGCCAGTCTGGAGTGCAGTGGCACAATCTTGGCTCACTGCAACCTCCGCCTCCCTGAATCAAGCAATTCTCCTGCCTCAGCCTCCTAAGTAGTTGGGACTACAGGCACACACCACCACGTCCAGCTAATTTTATTGTATTTTTAGTAGAGACAAGATTTCACCATATTGGCCAGGATGGTCTCGATCTCTTGACTTTGTGATCTGCCTGCTTCAGCCTCCCAAAGTGCTGGGATTATAGGTGTGAGCCACTGTGCCCAGCCGACTGTGTATCTTCTTTGGAAATATGTTGAAGTCCTTTGCTCATTTTTAAATTTGGTTGTGTATTCTTTTCCATAAGCCTTTATAAAAGAGCTATGTTTTATTTTCTTGTTATCTCACCCTGCTTTGTGGAGGGAGGCATCACTTTTCCCCTGGCTGCAACTTCCTCCTTTCTCTGAGCTGTGGACCTGTCCTTCATTCTGAGCCTTTGGTGGCACTAGTGCCACCGTAGTCATCCAGACTAGAAACTTCAGGCTTCTCTCTGACTCCCTGCATTTTATTTTTCATGGGCAGCCAGTTGCCAAATCTGTCAGTCTTGTCTCCACCAGGTTGGTTTACTCCATCCTCTCCCTTCTGGTGTTAGAGCCACCACCCCGGTTCCAGGGTGCCCAGTGCAATCTCATGCTAATATATAGTTTGGAGATGATTCATCTCTGGTGTCTAATGAAATCTCAGGGTGGGGTAGCATTGGCAAAGGGTGGCATAATGTTTGGCATAACATATAATAATATAGTTTGTATTTGGAAGATGAAAACCTTTTTCATAACATATGAAATAAAGCTTGAGGAGCAATGCAAAGGATAGATTATCTTTTGTCAACAGCACATTATAATATTGATAATACTGATAGAAGCTAACAAATGTTTATTGAGCACTTACTATATGCCAGGCACAAGTGTGTCACAGGTGTGCAGTGACTATCTGGAACCAGTGTTGCGGGCATAAGAAGAATTTACCAAGACAGTTGTAGGTAAAGAAAAACAGATTTATTAGAGAAAGTAGAAAAATACATTGCAAGAGTGCAAGCAGATCAACAAGAAGGGAGCTGACTGCCAGGAAACAAAGGCTTGCTGGGGATTTCATAGAATGGTGCTTGTGCTGTGTACTGAAGGGGGCTTTGTGCAGTGCTGGTAACTCCAAGGTTGAATGAGCAAACTTGCATTTTTCTATTAATTGCGAGTCTGGTGATAGCTGGGTGCAGGAAGATTGTGTCATTAATATTTGTGCAGGATATGTGTCCTGGACCACGAAGAAAGGCAGAAGTATACCTTAATCTGCCTTCTCTTTTTGCTTTCCCTTGGTCCTGCCAGCCCAACTCCCCCTTCCTAATTAGGACTCCATAAAGCGCTTAACACTTATTAGCCTGTTTGACCTCATGACGACCTTGTGAGGCAGAGGATATTATTAGCCAGACAGAGAAGTTGAGGCCAGGTCCCAGGCCACACACCTGGTAAGTGGCAGGCGGGGCGTGCGAGCTAAGCTCTGGAAGTTTGATTCTAGAGCTGTCCACTGCAGCCGGAGGAAGCGTGGGGCTTTTTCTGTTCTCTGGAAGTGGGCATGAGTTAACTGGGCCTCAGGAAACCAGGCCTTTGGGACGAGCCCCAGCCTCTTCATTCCCTGCCACCCTCCGCCAATCTGCGACCTGCAGTTCCCTCTCCATGCTGCTGTGGGCCCTGCGGCCTGTGCATGATACCTGCAGTGGGTCCCGGTGTCTTCTCTCCGCTGTCCCTTGCATGTACTGCCAGTCTGGAGTGCCTTCTGAGTGGTCACACATCTCACATCTGTCATCTTTAAGGAGCCGCCTCAGTGCCGTTTGCTGCATGAGGCCCGATCTTCCCAGGTTGGCCTCCCTCTCCATCCTCCTCAGGATGCTTATGACGGGGGCTCCAGGGGAAGTGACAACACTTGCAACATCTCACCTCAGTATCTAGGCATGTTCCTGTTTCTTCCCAACTAGACTGTAGGTGACGGGAGACAGGATTTGCCTGTCGAGGACCCAAGCACTTTTGTGTTCCTCAGTGCCAAGCACAGAATGTGTTGTGAAACTGAGAAGCCAAATATTTCCCAGACCGAGGCTCAGGCAGTCATAAAACCCACAACCGTGGTTTAGACCCTAATTTTTGTGGGTCAGTCAGAGTTCCTATCTCCAGAACAGACCTGGGAATCTTTAAACCTGGGAATCTTTCCTCTGTAAAAAGTCCTCTGATTCAGAGACCCCAGCTGGCCTCTTCTCCACGTGTCCCAGTGAGGTTCTTTCCAGGCCTTTCCATTTTCTTCCCACAGCAGAAGTTTCATTAAGCAAATAGGAAGTTGCTGATAAGCACCCTCACCCCGATGCAAATATGAACAGTGGCCAGGAGACAGGTAAGGGAACTGGCCTGTGCCTGTGGGAGGTGAAGCCAGCCAGAGACGCTGGCTCGCTGGGCATCTTTCCATTGAGGCTGATTCCTGCAGTGACTCTGGAGAGGCAAGACCGGGATACTCTGGTTTTGATTTCCCTTTTTCCTGAGGTGACCAATAGTAATGGGTGGTCTTGGGAGGAGGCAGAAGAGACTTAAATCATGACATCAGAAGAAAAACTCAGTCTCTGACCTGGTACGGTGGCTCACACCTGTAATTCCAGTATTTTGGGAGACTGAGGTGGGAGGATTGCTGGAGGCCAGGAGTTCGAGACCAGCCTGGACAACACAGCACCACCACCACATCCTACTTATGGTAGAGATGGGCTTCTTGCTATGTTTCCCAGGCTGGTCTCAAATTCCTGACCTCCAGCGATCTTCTGCCTTGGCCTCCCAAAGTGCTGGAAGGCATGAACCACTGCACCTAGCCCAGTACTTTTTTTCCTTCTTCCAGAAGCTTACGTACTTTGAAGAAGGCCTCTTTCCCCGTCTTAACAGAAAAATTCCTTGCTTTTTAATTTCTTAAAGTGTCAGTTACCTCTTTCTCTCCAGCTTATCCTGGTTTCACCCATGTCTAGTTCCCCTGTCAGGCACATTCGAATTCGCTTGCCTTGGCTGTCTCTTCCCCGGCTCCTGTGTTCTACAGCCATCTCCACGTGGTCTGTGGAGAAGATGGCTGAGTACCCTGAAGGTGTCCAGCTCCCTCAGGCCTGTCTTTCTCATTGGCATCATTCTGGGTCTGCTCCTTGCCCATGAGGCCTGGGTATAAACCTCCCCGATCGGTGGAAATGGACTCCCAGTGGTGAGCCATGGCTTGGAGACAGTTTGGTTCACGGGCCCCAGCGCACCGAGCATACAAGGAAGACCTCACTTGTGGTTGGGATACATTTGGCAGATTGGGGGTTTGACCTAGCTTTGGGCATGTTGGCTCCCTGGCCACCATTAGGGCCCAGTGGGGTACTTGAGTTAGGAGAGAGAAGCCAGCTTTCGGAAGTGCTGCAGCCGCAAGGCCCACTGCAGCTGCACAGGATGGGTGAAACTCACCAAAGCAAAGTGAAAGTTGTGAAATTCCAAGTGACATAGTTCCCTTTTGAGAAAGTTTTGTAAACCTCTTTAAGAAAAACTTGAAATAGCCTGCTGTATATTTCTTCTTTGAATTTCAGATTTTTTTTTTTTTTTTTTGAGATGGAGTCTCGCTCTATTGCCCAGGCTGGAGTGCAGTGGCGCGATCTCGGCTCACTGCAAACTCTGCCTCCCGGGTTCACGCCATTCTCCTGCCTCAGCCTCCTGAGTAGCTGGGACTACAGTGCCCGCCACCATGCCCGGCTAATTTTTTTGTATTTTTTAGTAGAGACAGGGTTTCACTGTGTTAGCCAGGATGGTCTTGATCTCCTGACCTCGTGATCCGCCCACCTTGGCCTCCCAAAAGTTCTGGGATTACAGGCATGAGCCACCGCACCCAGCCTGAATTTCATATTTTTTTTTTTGACATGCATAAGTAACTTTCCTCCTATTTTCTCAGACTTCTCTAACTCTCCATTTTGAAATATCTGCTATTGGGAAAAGCATAAACAAGCCTCCAGTTTATTTATAATGTGGGGTTCAGAGGAGGCAGCTGGCCAGTGGTTGTCTTATTGCAATTCTCTGATTAATGAGGAAAGGCGTCATTAAGTGTCACAGCAATGGAATAGTTCATGTGATCTGGGAAAACCTACCTCTTTTCTAGTTCTAATATGGGACACAGGAAAATAACAGGGCAATGCAAATACTGCTGTGTATTTGCAAAGTCTGCACACACTTTCAAGTGTGGATGAGTAAATCCTAAAAGGAACCAAAGACATATGACTCTGACTTGCAGTGTTTCTTCTTCCTGTGTGTAAATGGGGGTGTCCCCCACGAGTCTCTGTTGTGTTTGGATGGGTTTGAAGATTCAGGTTAGGAAAGCCCCTTTTCAGAATTCCTCCTTAGACCTGAAAACCCAAGTCTTTGCTTCCAAATAAATGCCTCCAGAGGACAGAGCATGTTGATGGCATTTTAATGTAGGGCTTTAGCCTTTGACAAATGTGTGCTCAGAGGAGCTCAAGGCAAGAGATGCTAGTTCTGTGTGCGGGGCACCCATGTGTGCCTCCCTTTTCCAGGTGCCAGCGGACGTTGAGAAATGTCAAGATCGGATGGAGTGTTTCAATGCTGACCTGAAAGCTGACATGGAGAGGTGGCAGAACAACAAGAGGCAGGACTTCCGGCAGCTACTCATGGGGATGGCTGACAAGAACATCCAGTATTATGAGAAGGTAATGAGTGTGCCCAACAAGACTGGTTTCTAATGGCCGGAGCCTTTCACATGGGCCCACCAGAAATCCAGAAGCTGGGAATTCTGCTAGTCTCGTCTCCTTCCCTTATTTTAGCTGCTTAGTCTTGGCTCCTGCCTCATGCCCTTGCCCGGCCGTGTGGCTGCAGTGCTGGGTTTGGCAGCAGAGGGGGTGCTCACAGGGGTTTCCCTTGCACATGCGGCTGGGGAAGCAGCCCACTGGTCTTCCGTGCTCTCTGGGCCTGCGCTGGTTGCTTCCCAGAGCCAGACAGCCTTTCAGCACAGGCATGCTGCCACCGAATGGAGGCTTTGGGGTTATTTTACTCTGTGTTGGGGTTCTGTACACAGGGGCCCTTCACTTTGATTGTGCAGTGAACCCCTTTGGTCATCTGGTGAAGCCTATAGATCCCTCATCAAAATACTGTTCACTTGTTTTTTAAATGGACTTCAAAATGTTGATTTTAAATACCTAAAATAAAGGGATATAGGATTAGAAAGGAAAGCAATTCTATTAAAAAGTTTTACTCATGGATCCCCTTGACGTGTGGACCCCAGGTTAAGCACCGCACACACACACACACACCCCCCCCCACACATCACACCCCACATACACACCCCCACACATACACACCACACACACACCCCCACACACATCCCACACACCCCCCACACATACACCCCACATACACACACACCCCCCACACATACACCCCACACCCACACACCACACCCACACACCACACACACCCCCCACATGGAGATTACTCTTATCAGGCTACAGTCCAGTCCCCTCAGTCAAGGTTTGCTTGATTCATATATCCAGCAAACCAATGCGAGGCCAGGTGCAGTGGCTCACGCCTGTAATCCCAGCATTTTGAGAGTCCGAGGTGAGAGGATCACTTGAGCCCAGGAGTTCAAGACCAGCCTAGGCAGTGTAGTGGGACTCTGTCTCTACAAAAGATACAAAATGAGCCAGGCATGGTGGCGTATGCCTGTAGTTCCAGCTACTCCAGAGGCTGTGGTGGGAGGATGGCTTGAGCCAGGAGTTCAAGGCTACAGTGAGCCATGATTGTGCACTACGGCACTCCAACCTGGGTAACAGTTTTTGACCCTATATCGCGCTATACATACATACGTGTGTGTGTGTGTATATGTTTATGTGTGTGTGTGTGTGTGTGTATATATATATTGTGACAGGGTCACAAACTCTGTTACCCAGGTTGGAGTGTAGTAGTGCATTCTGTTACCCAGAGTTCCTTTTTTCCGTAACTCCCACACCTTCCCTCCGCTGTTCAGCGGCCTTCCCGCTACTACAAAACCAACTATGTCAAATGTCTCCATCGCTCCCCTTGGTAATTAATCCCAGCATTCCTAAAGTCCTGGTCCCGGGAGGACCCAACCCTGGTCTTAAGTACATGTTTATCTGTCTTCCCACTATATCACAGGCAGGGCCACCGTCTTGTGGCCTGGTACTGCTTCTATACATATTTAACAAATGCTTTTTGTGCACTTGCTGTGTGCAAGGAGCAATGTGTACCAAATTGATAAACAGCAGGATTCCTGCCCTGTGGGGAGGGTATGTGTTCATCAGAGGAGCCCACAGCTTCAGAGTGAGATAAGGGAAAGAACGGGAAACTGGGGGAGAAAATACCAGGGGGCATAATGCAGACTAAGGGTGGGAGGGGCGGGTGGAGTGGGCAGGAAAGGCCAGTCTGAGGAAATAACATTTCATCCGAGTCTCAGAGACAGAGGCTTGGAGAACATATATTCCAGGTAAAGAAGACAACATACGCAAGGTCCCTGGGATAGGAAAGAGTTTGGTACATTTGAGGACCAAATAGAAAACTGGTATGGCCTTGGTTTCTCATGGCTGACATACAAAGTCCATTGCAGATCGGAAGTGATGGCCTAGGGAGAGAGCAGGACCTGGAATGCCACAGACCCCAGACCATCTTCTGTATATAAGGTGGGCTTCTGAGTTTAGCTTCCTCTCTAACCTCAGAGTCACCAAGGAGGAATCAGGGAGCAATTTCACCACTCCTCTTTCTGGCTTGACCTAGGATGCCTGTCTCCTCCTCCCTCCTCAGAACTTATGCCACCTCCTCAGAATTCCTTCCATCTCCTCAGAATTCCTCCCACCTCCTCAAAATTCGTCCCACCTCCTCAGAACTCCTCCCCCTTATCAGAACTCCTCCTCCCTCCTCAGAACTCCTCTCACCTTCTCAGAATTCCTTCTGCCTCCTCAGAACTCCTCCCACCTCAGAATTCCTCCTCCCTCCTCAGAACTCCTCTCACCTCCTCAGAACTCCTCCCACCTCCTCAGAATTCCTCCCACCACCTCAAAACTCCTCCCCCCTCCTCAGAACTTCTCCCACCTTAGGATTCCTCCTCCCTCCTCAGAACTTCTCCCACCTTAGGATTCCTCCTCCCTTCTCAGAACTCCTCCTACCTCAGGATTCCTCCTCCCCCCCTCAGAATTCCTCCCCACTCCTCAGAATTCCTTCTCACTCCTCAGAACTCCCACCTCCTCAGCATTCTTCCTTCTTCCTCAGAACTCCTCCCACCTCTTCAGAATTCCTCCTCCCTCCTCAGAACTCCTTTCACCTCCTCAGAACTCCTCCCCACTCCTCAGAATTCCTTCTCACTCCTCAGAACTCCCACCTCGTCAGCATTCTTCCTTCTTCCTCAGAACTCCTCCCACCTCTTCAGAATTCCTCCTCCCTCCTCAGAACTCCTTTCACCTCCTCAGAACTCCTCCCACCTCCTCAGAATTCCTCCCACCTCTTCAGAATTCTCCCACCTCCTCAGAACTCCTGCTACCTCCTCAGGATTCCTCCTCTCTCCTCAGGATTCCTCCTCTCTCCTCAGAACTCCTCCCACCTCCTCAGAATTCCTCCTCCCTCCTCCTCCAAACTCCTCCTACCTCCTCAGAATTCCTCCTCCTTCCTCAGAACTCCTCCCCGCTCCTCAGAACTCCTCCTCCCTCCTCAGAACTCCTCTCACCTCAGAATTTCTCCTGCCTCCTCAGATTCCTCCTCCCTCCTCAGAACTCCTCCCACCTCCTCAGAATTCCTCCTCCCCCCTCAGAACTCCTCCTACCTCAGTATTCCTCCTCCCTCCTCAGAACAACTCCTCCTTCCTCAGAACTCCTCCCACCTCCTCAGAATTCCTCCTGCCTCCTCAGGATTCCTCTTCCCTCCTCAGAACTCCTCCTGCCCGCTCCTCAGAACTCCTTTTACCTTCTCACAATTCCTCCCACCTCTTCAGAACTCCTGCGCCTCACAACCTCTCCTATCCCCTCAGAACTCCTCCCCACCTCTTCAGAACCTCTCCCCACCTCCCCCAAACCCCTCCTGCCTTCTCAGAACCCCTCTCCACTTCCCCAAAACTCCTCCCACCTCCTCAGAACTCCTTCCTAAATGACTCAGTACAAAGTCCTCCTTCAACCCTGGGCTGCTACTTAAAAGCCTTATGTGATTCACCTGCCCTCTTTATGCAAGAGACGTTCCAAAGGGAGAATCATTTCTGCTCTCAGAGGACAATGCCAGAGTGTTCTGAGTTCTTGGCCTTTCACAAGGATCTGGTATGAAAAGAGGTTGGTGTAGTGGAGAGAGCATCAGTGGGGGAATCATGAGCTCTGTTATGGACAAGCTGTGTGTCTGGGCCAGTTATTTAACCTGAGTCTTGTCTTCCCCATCCATGAAATCAGTGTGTATGTGTCAAGTAATAATTCTCCTTCATAGAGGAGCTGTGAGGACTGGTGATAACTAATGTAAAGTATGTCACCATGTTTGGACATAATAAAACTCAATAAACACTGGCTTCCCTCTTCCTGTTCCCTTTTGGGAAATTCAGGTGTGGCCCAAACAAGCAAACTTGAGGTTGGTGAGAAAGAGTGGGCTTTCACCTGCTCCGATGCAGGTGGCTGGCCTGCTCCAACTATGATTTCCATCCTGCACAAGTGCCACCCACACCTGGAGCAGTGTCTCCATCCCTGCCGAGGTCCTAGGGCCTCTTCAGGGGTTTCCTGCTTGGGCTCTTTTCTGCTTTTTTGAAAGGAAAAGAATTTCCTCCATCGAATCCATTTCCATTCACTGGATATGAGCTTTACAGACCAGCATGAATGCATTTAAACCTTGCAGAGATATTGCTGTCTTTCATAAAGATGGGGTGACACATTCCAAACAAACACTTGTTACCTCCCTGTTTGTAATAGTTATGGAGGATACATGCAGGCATCGTTAGACAAAGGTGACCCAGTGGGATCCACAGTGAAAGGGTAGATCCGAGCAGAATTGAGAAGCTGACCCAAAATCAGAAACTCAAAGCTGATACTGTGTGTGTGTGTGTGTGTTGTCGTTCCAGTGCCTCATGGCGTGGGAGTCGATTATTCCACTACTGCAGGAGAAACAAGAGGCCAAGTAAGTTCCTTCTTGGGACGGAGACTCTTCTACCTACACAGGGCCTGGCACCCCATACCGGAATGTTCCTGCAGTGCCAGAGATGCAGCGCTGGGAAAACAACCACAGAAACATCTCTCCTTTGTGTATTTTTCCCTCCCCCACCTTTCACCCCACAGTGGTTTTCAATTAGTATTTATTCCATGGTGGAGTCTGTGAGGCTGGAATCGTCTCTCAGCAAGAGCAGCATACCTCTGTGTTATGAAGGCACCTGTTCAGTGAAGCACTACGAAAATTTGAAACCAAGGGACAAGACAACCTGCAGCTGATGCTCTGGCATTTCATGACAATTTCCTCTTTAGGGACAGCTGAGTTGCCTGTTGTGGGAGAGAACCCGGGGCCTGCTTTTCAAGGATGAGGAGGAGGCAGGAACAGAAGGCAGCTGTTGCTTTCTGCGGAAACCTGGCGCCTCTGGAATTGGCCTCTGTGAGCATTGACGCGTCTTGGCCTAGGAGACGTTGGTGCCTCCCTGGCAAGTCCTTAACGTACAATGACCTGTAGCTGTGAGTGTGGCCTGCTGCCTGCTTGTGATGAGTCTTACTGTTTCTGTTTCACATAGGGACATTTAAATCAGTGTCAGTGTGCGTCCATGCTTGAGAGTGAGCAAGCTAGCGTCCTTGTCCTCCTGCGATGCCTTTGGGAAGCTCAGGGTAATGCTCCCCAAGCTTGTTTCTGACACTAGAATGCAATCGATTGGAAACTTCTTCTGTAAAATGAAAAAAAAAAAATGCTTTTTTTTTTTCTTTTTTCTGTGAAAGTCTTCAGTGTTTTGCTTGTTCACTGTCATCAGAGCAGGGATTAGACCTGTTAGGAAATATGTATTGTCTTGAAGTCAGAGTAGCTCCCCCATTGTTGAGATCAGTGGGCATATACCAAGCTCCACACCCAGCGTCAGCTTTGTGCAATTTGCCTTTACCTCACCAAAAATACCTACTTTAATATTTCCTCCTGTGTCCACTGAATGTCTGGGCAAGCTTTTGGTGAGGGGGCTGGTATGTCGTGTTGTTATGATACAGTCGAAATTTATCAACGCAGTGTGAATGTTCTACATAAAGTGCTTTAACCCTTAACATTTCCTGGTCAGGAAGGAAACTCAGTACCTGGAGGTCTTGAAAATGACAAATACAACAGCGAGCCCTTTGTTTCCAGCTAAGCTAAAGTCTCCTCAGTGTGCAGCCAGATTCCTGGGGACTGCTGACTGTGGTTCCAGGCTACATTTCAGACAATGACCAGGTTTACTTTTCAGATCACAAAGCAGTCACCAAGGATCTAGCTTCCAACCCTTTTTTTTTTTTTCCTGCTGAAATGAAGCTACATGTCATGTTTGTGTTCTTTCATCCGTGGCTCATCCCTGTAAAACTACGAATCTGAGCCTCAAATAAGCGGTAGTTTTTTTCGTTTGTTTGTTTTGTTTTTAATGAAACAGCTGTGTTAAGATGCTGCTTCAGATGCAAGTTCACCTGGAAATACTGGTCAGCGGGCAGCATGTCAAGGTCACTTAAGCCCACTTTTAACTGCAGGTCATCCTCGCATCGGCCAAGGCTGTGGTGCTGTTGATGCCACAGCTGGACAGCATAGGACAGCTTGGTTCTGTTTCATTGTGTTTGACAATGTTGCAGTTTAAATGATAATGTTTAAATCAATTGGTACTTGTCTGTACTGTTAAACCCTATTTGTGCCATTCTCAAGTCCTTTGATGTGAATTTTCGGTTTGGTATAGTTAGAAATGACTCATTGATGTGGAAGGGTAAGAACAACCCATGTACCCCCGAGTGATTCTGTGCTTCATTCTACCTCTAAGCCATCGTGTTGGCGTGGGTATGGACGCCTGGGTCTGACCTGACACTGTGCTGGGAGAATCAGGGTGTATGTCTAATGGCAAGTTGACAGCCCTCTGTTGATATTTGGCAGAAGATGCCAGACCAGCCCAGCAGCAAATGCTCATCTTTGGGAACATAGGAAGCTCTGCCTTGGGGAAGGTATGCTTTATGTGCAGTGTAATGAATGCTTGGAAAAAACTGGAGTTACAGGAAAATGAAATCTGACTGTCTGCTAGTTGCCAAAGCCCAGAAACATTCCTGTGTAATGGTTAGTTGGGAAAGAAGGCAGCACTTGAAAAAAATTCATCAGGTTCCTCACTGGGAGATGTGGGAAGGGGCGTGGGATGCACACGGTCACTCCCTCTCCTAGTGAGAGGCAGATGGCTGCCTCTGAAGGGAGGCGGGGACCGTGGGATTTGGTCTTGCTCTGTCTGGTCCCCATGTGATGCCCTGTGCTGTGAGACATCAGAAAGATCTGGAACAAGGCAAACTTTCTGTCCTCCTGGCATGTTATTGATGGCAAAGCCAGGAAGTCCAGTGTACATTACAGATTTTCTGGGAGAAATAGTCCTTCTGAAGAAAGGATTCCTTCCCAACCTCCAGGCTGGTGCCTCATGAGGTGAGGAGCTGGCCCAGAAGGAAGGGTATGGTAGGTGGTGAAGCAGACTCCCCCAGGCCTCTGAGGGCCAGCAGCCCCAACCATTTGCCTCTTCGTTTTGATCAAACACACAGGAGATATTCCCTAGAAGTGTCACACGGAGGCTTCTGTGCCAAAGACTGCCTTGTAGAGGTTTCATCACCCCACCCTTCTTGGCTCCACAAAATTGTGGTCCTGAGATCGCCACTCCTCTCTTAAATATTTATTATTCGTATTTTTTACTTTACCTCAAGCAGACAGACGTAGGTTTTGAGGTTTGAATACATGGCAGTGGAATGCAAGGCCCTCCCTAGCAGCTGCCCCAGGCCTGGGAAGTGATAGATTGCATTCGCCTGGGTTAAAAATCCAGAGGAAGACAGAAGAGAGGAGTCCTAGGAACTGGTTAGATTTTAGAGATGCAAGTGATGTTTAAGAGAGCCTTGTGATTTGTAGCAAGCATGGGCACTGCTTTTTCTTACTAATGTGGTAGATCTACACGGACATTCTAGGCTGTTCTGCTCAGAGCAAGGAACCACTACTCCTCAATGGGGAGGGAACATACCACCCAACCAGGCTTAGCGTTGGGTTTTATCCTTTAATAGAAGTTTTATAATGATTCCTGTTCAACTTAAAGTGTGATTATGGAGATGACTGGCTCCATATTTCACCATGTCGTTCCTTCAACTCGCCAGACACCTTTCGTTAGCTGAAATAAACCGGCATGACCTGGAGATCATGGTGACTGTAAGCTAAGTCTGTTTTCATGCCAGATTTCAGCCCCACCCGGAGTGTGTTCTAGACGTTGTTGATTTGAATGGTTTTCTCAGTTACCACTCCACATGGGGACGTTGAATGAAGGCACACCGGCTGCTCACTTTGTGTGAGGCTGCCTTTTGTGATCAAATGACAGGAAGTTCTGCTTTAAAGGAGGGCACGATGACCATGTGGCAGTCTGCAAGTGGAATTTCTCTCTTGGGATGGCAGCCCAAGGAACATCCAGAGTTTGTGTGACTTGGTCCTGCCATTGTTAGCTTTAAAATCACAGGCATCGGGCTCTGTTTTGACACCATTTGTTGGACTGTGGGACAGTTATTCTTTACAGTCTATCTTGAGCTAGTGAGAGAGGAGGAAGAGGGAAGTCAAGAGCAACCTCCAAGGCCTGTGTTGGCCTCTTCTGCTTGGGTCTTGGGGTGGGTTAGAACTGGGTTCCAGTGTTGCCAGATGGGTTGCTGGTTGCACTGAGGGGTGATTCCTCTCAGAAGATGGGCTGCCTGTGGTCAGGACAGGCCACACCAATCTGGACTCCACCTTCCCAGACACCTACTTTAAGGACCTGTGGAAACTGGGTGATCCAATTATAGGGCTGGGGCAACCCTGCTTTGGCCACCTTCATTTACAAACTTAGGTTGAGAGTTTGGATTTCCTGTCTCACTTCCAAAAGCCTTCAAGATGGCAGCAGATGGACACACCCTCATTTCTTATGTCTTCTCTGTCAGATGGCAGGAGGCATTTATCAGTAAATTTGAGGAGAATGTTCTCTCCTGGGCCAGCCTCACAGCTTGCATTGGGTGTGTTGGAATTGTTCTCTTCTGCCTTGTGATTTTTTCAACTCAGTGAATAAACCAGGAATCCAATTTTTCACCAACCCACCCTGTAGATTGTCAGCTTTTTGTTTGAGGGATGCCTGGTCTCCTCACAGTTACATGTATCAGAGTGTGTGTAAGTTGTCTGTGTTGGAAAGGTTGGGGTGGGGGCTCTGTTGCAGGGGGTTAGTCTGTTCTTTCTTCATCATAAATTTGAGATGCATCCCAAGTATGACTGTCTAACCCTTTCTATGTGGCAGAAAAATATGTTTTCCAGGTAGTTTTTACTACTATAGATAGTCTGTAAATAAGTGCTTTGAAGAAAATAACAAACCAATAAGATATTTGTCTCCTATATAAACATTCTGTGTATTTAGCACGTGAAAACCAACAAATCCAGAATTTAAAAAAATGCCACAGACTGTTAAAAGCCCAACTCTACTTTTTTGAGAATTTGTCCTTACCTACTAATATGCCTTATTCTTCTTCAACTAGTGTTTTAAAAGTCCTGGGTAGAAAGAGTTTTAGAAATGTCATCAGTTGTTCAGCTTCAATAATATGGAGATCTAACATAGTCGGTCCTCAGGCCCCCTAAAGAAACAAGCAAGAAAGTGAGGGCCGTCACTAGGGTTGGCTTTGGGGAGGCGAAAACTAAGTACTGCTTTTGCCAAATAGTATTTTTGATAATGTAAGGAAACACAGGGACCACAAAACCTTTTTTTTTTTTTTTTTTTTTAAGTGTGAAAGATTAGTGCCTTTTGGCATACTATTGATTTTAGAGGATATAGTATCGGCAGCGACAAATCATGTAGAAACAAAGAATTCTATAGATGACAGCAATATTAAATGTTACTCCTGATTCTGCAGAACAGCTTTTGAAGATACTGGGGCGGGTGGGGTATCTTCAAGCCTCAGAGCAGCTTGTTTCAGATAGAAATTCTCCATGGGTTGAAATGCCAAAAACAGAAAACATGATGTTGACTCACATAATTTAGTCCATTTTAGCAGAGCCTTTAGTGTTAGTACCAGTGGTGAGGAGAATTGTATATTCTGTGTCAGCAGCAGCACCCCCGCATCAGGTGGTTCTGGGCTCTCTGTAGGCTGGTCCTAGTAGGTGACACCCAGCAACACCCCTGTTGGACAGGATTGTTCACAGTCTTAGACCAACACTTCAGTCAGAAATGATACTGGGAGTAGGAAAGGAAAATCACTTTTTTTCCTCCATGTGGAAATGAGGAGAGAGGAAAGTGGATTGCAAACCGAAATGTGAGTCAGTGTGATGAAGCAGTAGCTCTGTCATCTGGGCCTTCATCCAATAACAAACCAGCATCTCTTAACGGCGCTTTTGGCCCCTGAAGTTTGGGTCCTGTCTGGTGGATTCCCTGTCCATTGTGTTTTCTGTATGCCTGTTCCCTTCATCGCTGTGAGTTAGGAGTGCATTCAGAGATGACGTTCATCTGATATATTCCTGTGAAATAAACTGCCAGCAAACTTTCTAACTTGTATTTTAACTGTTAAAGAAGAGATTAAAAACTTTGGCTTTGGACATGTCCACATTATGGACTGTTATTTCTTATTTTTAAGAGTCATTCTTTACGTTGAAAATTTTAAAATAAAAACCTTCTGAGGTTTTGATGAAGTCCGCCGTGTAAATGTTACCTTCTCTCCATGCTGCCATTATGCCAAAACAAAAGCTGTGAAAAAAAAAAGTGCTTGAGAGTGTGTGTTGATGAGCAAGTGATTTATTTACAGATGGAAGTCTTTGTTTCATGAAGCTACCAAACTTTAAAGAGAATGTCACCCTTCTTTTTGTTGTGGAAACCAGAGATTGTAAAATGGAAAGAGTCTTTTTTTGTTGACTTTTTGATGCTGGCACGAGGTTTTTGTCCACTTTTTTCATATATCTGTGTATAAAAAATTGTTGTTTACTATGGAATTAGTATTACATTTTGAGGTAAACAAAAGAATTTGTATTGCTTGATAAATATTAGCTTGTAAATTTAAAGTTTCTTTACTTCAATTAACTTAAAGGACCAATAAACCCATAAAAGATGCTTTCTTTATCTTGAGTCATGTGGTCATTTGTACCTTTCTGTAAGGCAGAAAAACATGTGTGCCTGTTTTTTTCTTCTTTTCTCTTTACACATTATCAGTTTGCCTGTAAGAATCAAGACATACAGAGCGACAGGAGAAAATATATGTAATTGAACTATTTGTGTTCTTCTTCACTTCTTTATAGGCCCAATTTACCCTCAATTTACCCTCTTCTACATCTTCCACATCAGCACCAATCTGGGGAGATGAAGAAACTTCCTAATGTAGTAGCCATCATGATTGGCAGGCAGGCTGACAGCTAGCCGAGGTATTTACTACATGAAAGATTTCTGCATTATCCCATAGCAAAGCACAGCATTATATTCTGGGTCAGGGCCAGTTGACCTGATGATGGTAATGCATTGAACTTGAGTATACTTAAAATGGTGCTCAACTTGACTTACTGATAGCAGACATCATTAATCTAAGACTGCAGTGATACAAAATAAGGCAGCAAGGTGAATCAGACGTGGATCGTGGATCAAATCTCAGCTTTTCCAATTACTAGCTATGTGGCTGTAGGCAAGTCACACTTGGCTGAACCTTTAGTACTATGATCTTTGAGATGAAAACAAGACTTCCATGTGGGGTTGTCGATAGGACTGGCAATATGGTATACAAAGCACTTAAATGTCAGGCAGGTTCTCACTGTGATAGCCCCTTTCTAAAGACTTCCTAATTTAAATATTAAGGCTACTAGGGTATTATCCTTAAATATTAAGGATATGGCCAGTTTAAATATTAAGGATAATCTTTCCTATATGTTTTGCCAGTTTTTTTGTTTAATAGGATATTCCTTTTTCTTTTTTCTTTTGCTTTGTCACACAGGCTGGAGTGCAGTGGCATGATCTCAGCTCACTGCAACCTCTGCTTCCCGGGCTCAAGCAGTGACCCCACCTCAGTCTCCTGAGTAGCTGGGACTACAGGTGCATGCCACCATGCCCGGCTAATTTTTGTATTTTTCGCAGAGATGGAGTTTTGTCATGTTGCCCAGGCTGGTCTTGAACTCCTGAGCTCAAGTGATTCACTTGCCTTGGCGTCCCAAAGTGCTGGGGTTACAGTCATGAGCCACTGTGCCTGGCCCTGTTTTCTTTTTAAGAAGATGATGGAAATAGAATACTGTAGGACTGTGTCAGACTGAAGGCCTGGAGAATGGAGAGGAATAGATGACAAAAGCCATGGCAAGAAGTGATAAAGGGAGGTGAAAATAGCTGATTTAGGAGACTCTTAGAGGGGAGGGGAATGGACCGGAGATGACTGGGAGATTGCCAGCCTGGGATTTGGAGGTGATGCCATTAGCTAAAATCAGAAGAGAAAGACAAAAGATGGAGACTGGGCGTGGTGGCTCATTCCTGTAACCCCAGCACTTTGGGAGTCCACAGCAGGAGATCACTTGAGCCCAAGAGTTCAAGACCAGCCTGAGCAACATAGACCCTGTCTCTACAAAAATTAAAGATCAAAAAAGATGGAATGAGCTTAGGTGGTGGGGTGTGAGAAGGAAAACTTGGTTTGGCTTTAGATTTGAGGAAATCCAGGTAGAGATGTTGACTTGGCTGTTGGAAATGAAGTTCTTGAGTCCATGGGAGTGGACTAGATTGCATGGGAACAGAACCAAGGACGGGACCTTGGGGGTCTCAAGAATTAAGGATACAGGCAGGGCGCAATGGCTCATGCCTGTAATCCCAGCACTTTGGGAGGTCGAGGCAGGTGGATCACTTGAAGCCAGGAGTTTGAGACCAGCCTGGCCAATATGGTGAAACCCTGTCTCTACCAAAAATACAAAAATTAGCCAGACGTGGTGCGTGCTTGTAATCCCAGCTACTCAGGTGGCTGAGGCAGGAGAATCACTTGAACTCGGGAGGCGGAGGTTGCAGTGAGCTGAGATCGTGCCACTGCATTCCAGCCTGGGCAACAGAGTAAGACTGTCTTAAAAAAAAAAAAAAAAAATTAAGGATGCAGGGAGAGGAGGGGGACTCAGGGAAAATTCTTGAGAAAAAATCAGGCCCCATAGGTGAGAATGGTAATTCTTCAATGAGGACTTGTGAGACACCAATTGTTGAGCCCCAGTCCTAGAATTTGACTTGGGTGAGACCCCAGAATTTTCATTTCTAACCAGTTCCCAGGTGATGCTGTTGCTGCTGGTCCAAGAACCACTGGGTGAGAACATCTGTTAGAAGAAATGGTGACGCTGGGAAAGCTGACAAGGTTTGAAACTCCTACCCTGGTGACAGGTGGGGTTGAAAAGGAGCCAATACTTGGGTTTTGAGAGCTCAGCTCAGGTTAAAAAACACAAGTTTATAGCAGGGTCAATGTGGACAAGGAAGGACATTTCTCTAAGCAGTAAGAGGCTTCTCAGGAGTAGGGAGAATTGGATTCATTCAGGCTGAGGAGCTGGTCAGAGGCTGCAGTAGAAGGTAAGGAGTTGGGGAATGAGCATATTGATGAGTAAGGTTGGAGAGGCTGAACACGATATTGACTTCATCTTTCCCATCCTATCTGCTCTGCTCATATTGCCAGACTCTGGGAGAGGGGGTGCTACCTTTTTCCTAGTAGCCTGAGCCCCAAATCTGAGTCATTCTGGCCTCCATCTACCTCACCCTGTGGCATCCATCCATTAACCAACTCCTGTAGCCTCTAGCTCCCAAATATTTTTCCATGTCTATCTACTTTTCTCCATGTTTATAGCTTCTTACCCTACATCTGCTATCATTTTTAATTTTATTTATTATTTATTTATTTATTTATTTATTTATTTTTTAGAGACAGTCTTGCTGTCTCACCCAGGGAGGGGTATAGTGTCCTAATCTTAGCTCACTGCAGCCTTGAACTCTTGGGCTCAAGCAATCCTGTCATTTTAGCCTCCTGAGTAGGTGGGATTATAGGTGCACACCACCACACCCAGGTCATTTTAAATTTTTTTGTAGAGATGGGGTCTCACTATGTTGCTCAAGCTGGTGCTAAATTCCTGGCCTCAAGTGATCTTCCCAGCTTGGTCTCCCAGAGTGCTGGGATTATAGGCCTGAGCCACTAAGGCTGGGCAGTCAGTCTGCCATTATCCTTCACCTGGTTTACTGCAAGGGCCTCATAGCTCTTCTCCTTTCTTGAAGCTTGCTCACTCCTTCCACCAATTCATTGTCCTCAGTGTTGCCAGGGAGCTGTTTCTAAGATGCAAATTTAAGCACTCCGTGTTCCTGCTTAACACCTTCCAACAGCTATCCCCATTTACTCTGAAGAGAAACATCTTTTTCTTTTGAAAGGCTATTTTATGTTATTCCTCCTTACCACCCCAGTCTCATCTTACTGTCCTCCGTAATACTTGTCCCTCCATCTTTGCTCCCTTCACGCTGAATTCCTAAACCTTTGATATATTTTCACCTTCAGGCCTTCCAGCATGGCGTTCTTTCCGCCTGGAATGTCCCCCAACATCTGGCCTTAGTAACTCCTACTTGCAGCCTTATCATAGAAGTCACTTCTGGGATGCCCTCCCTGCTGTCCCGAATCTGGATTCTATGCTCCCTTATATTAGTGAGGTTGGAGAGGTTGAACGTGATCTTGAATTTCTTGAACTCATCTTTCCCATCCCATCTGCTCTGCTCATGTTGCCTGACTCAGTGCAAGGGCGCTAGCTCCTTCCCAGTGGAAGGAGACATCCCTGTCTGATGTTGTCTGCTTCACCTGTTAGACAGTACTCTCTGCTAGAGCAGACACAGTCACATGCTATTCTTTCTGTATCTCAGCACCTAGCATGGGGCCTGGACCTTATTAGATGTGTCACAGAGTTTTGTTCATTCCCTGCAAGAGGATTAGAGGTACAAACTCTGTGAGCCCAAATACCCTGAGATTTGAATGTATTCTCTAGCCTTGTGTCTTACCCTGTATAAGAACATCAAGTCTGTAGTCATAGACAGAATCTGACCTGGGAAAGAATGATTCAAACACTCATACAATGAATGTTGATTTTATTAGGTGAGTCTGCTTTTATAAATCCAAGTAAATGAGGTTATAAAAATGAGTACCTCAAATAAAACAGCTCTTAATGTATCTCCTCTTTCTTCACACCACCCACTTTGGGAAGCACTGTTGACTGGAAGTACTCAATTGAATATCCCATTGAAGAAAGCCTTGTGACATTTGCTTCTTAAAAGCAACAGTAATAACAAAACTACCCAGAAGACAAGGGTCTGAGCTCCATCCCCCTCCTGAGTGTTTGTAGCCAAGGAAGACTCAGGAAAGAAAGCTGGCTTTTTTCAAGGTTTTATTTTAATTTAAAAGACATTGTTTGTTCAAAACTGTTGGTAGTTCTTACAAAACATTCCTTCCACATTCCCCTCAGGCTGTGATAATGCACGCTTTGAGTTCTCCCATGGGACTTTCAGCACAGCATCCTAGTGACTAGTTAGCTATACCTTGGAGCCCTCAAGACAATCTCTTGAAGAAAAGGGGCAGGCTCGCTGTAGCTGGAGTCTGAAACCCCTCACAGGGCCTGGGACTGCTGTATGCAGCCTGCCTATAACCCTTAAGTTCATGTTCTGCGGTCACAGAACCCAATCTCTGCCTAATAGGGGTATCTTAAAGCTAAGAACGTTTTTCCATCACCAGGAAAATGCTTTTCCCCATCCACCAGGGATCCCTGAGCCAAAGCAGGTCATACTGAGGCCAACTCTGCCTGGAACGTGGGTTTCTAAAGCAGTGGGTTGCTTTGGTCACCAGTTCCCCGGTCCCTTCTTTTGTCTTCTGGGGGTTTGGCCATGGCTGGTGTTTTCAGCTCCTGCAGGTAAGCATCTTCATTTCTCTGTGATGTCTGCATATGGTGACCATGGGACTTGTTTATAGGCCACGATGCTGTAAGAATTGACCACAGAGAGTTACAAGAGAACAGCTGGAATGGCGTAAACGTGAAACTGCCCTCACAGGGTTAATGAGAATTACAAGCCAGGCTTTAGGCAAAATCATAGGTAGG